GCGCCAGGTGAGCGGGTGCTGCTCCCCGAGCTGGCCCCCCAGGGGCGTGATGGAGTTGACCAGGGTGGTCAGGTTGATGAAGTGTGCCACAGACTGTGGGTTCGAGGCTTCGGGTGGGGGGTGGATCTGGAGGTCGTTCTGGCGGTTGTGCAACATGGCAGAGCCGCTGACCGTGTCAAAGGTCACGGTCAGAATGGAGTTGTCCAGCTGCAGCTGGCGCTCCGGGGTGGTGAGGTGCCCGACTGCCACTGGCTGGAGGTTGGTGAACTGAGTGCCGGCCGCAGTGGTGATGGGGGTTACGGTGATGTTGGTCAGGCCGACGGAGCTGGATGGGGTGGTCACGTTGGGGTCACCCAGTGTCACCACCACCTGCAAGAGTCACACAGGACACAGGACAGTTAACAGTTCCTGCAGAATGGAGACACAAGAAGCTGCCCGCGCTGCACTTTGCAACAGGGTTTGTCTGATGGTGCTGGACTCACTGCACGCCTGGCCCGGAGGGAGGAGGTTAGGGAGCACCTTCGGGGGAAAGATCAGACCAAGTTAATTTTTCCTGAAAAAAGAATTCCAGTAAACAAGAGAGACAATGCTCAGATGCACTCAGACCGGTCATCAGCTGGAACCGAGAAACAAAGAATTTCAGCGGCTAGAGAAAAGACAGAGAAAAGTGATGAGAAAACCAGAGCAGAGTCTTCACTTTCCTTCCACTTCTGGGAAGTGCTGTTGGTCGGTGGAAATCCCAACAGTAAAGCTGAGAAGAGCAGGAAACAAACGTGCGGTGCCCAGAGGTAAGAAATGAAAAAGGAAGCACTGCTCCTTCCTGGGGGGACGAAGGGACCCAGAAACGCAGAACGAGTGCATCCAGGAGGCCCGTGCCAGTCACGAGGCGGCGTCAGACACGCCAGCGAGGAGCCGGGGCCTCGGGACCGACGCAGGGAGGTTCAGTAAAGCGGCAGCTTCCACTAAAAGCGGCAGACTGAAAATAACATATAATGGAAAAGAATCTGAAAAGAAAACGTATCTATGACTGTGTATGTGTAACTGAATCACTTTGCTGTGCACCTGAAACTAGCCTTGTCAATCAACTACACTTCAATTAAAAAAAAAAAGCAGCAGACTGGCCGCCCACCACCCTCTCAGCCAGGCCTTGGTGGGCGGGGTCAGGCCCTCCCTCCCCAAACTAGAGACACCCCGATCCCCAGCCAGGCAGGCGGGTTGTCCTCGACACACTGGAACAGACGTCAGGCTGCTCTTCGGGGTGTAAGCTGGAAAACCCTTACGAGGGAGCTGGGCGTGCGCCGATCGCAGCTGGGGGCCGCAGCGCCGCGGGCAGGTCCCCGCACTGCACGGCACAGGCCGGCCTCCCGCGCCCGCCCATGGCCCCGGACTCAGCACCGGAAGCAGCGACCTGCTGGATGCTCTGCACAGCGGAGTCCGTCTCGTCACCCACGCCGCCCGAGAACGTGGCCTCCTTCTCCGGGTACTCGCTGAAGGTGGCATCCTCGGGCCCCGTGGCCCCTGCCACTGCCGCCGCCGCCTCCTCTGGCTTCTGTTTCCTCTTGTGAGTCCTCCTGGCGGCTTTCACATGCTTGCCTTCGGCCAGATCTTCCTGCTCTAGACTCAGTTCGGGCTGCAGGAAGAGAAGGTTCGACAAAGTGGAGGGGGCAAGGGGTTGTGTCCGTGGGGCCAGCGTGTCCCGACACCCTCCCTGGACACCAGGTGACCACAGCTTGTCTGTTCACCTGCACATCTAAGGATCGGGGCAACTTTCCGTTGGTTTCAGTTGGGTTTTTAAGTGAAGGGAATTAGACACTAGTCACATCTTTAAAGGCCATGTTTTGTGCTGAACTAGAAACACCTCTGAAAACACATTTTTTAAGCTACTCTCTCAGCCCTGTTGAGCTCAGCCTGAGGCTGAAAATGCTTTCACATCGAGGCTCTCATCAAGCCTGAAACAAACTCACTGAAGACACTGTCTTGCATCAGAATGAGTTTAAACAAAGAGCTGGATGGTTGTCATCTTCGGGGACAGCAAACAGGGCCCAGGGTAATGGCCACCCCAGACAGGTGCCCCACGCACTTCTCTGGGAGCTGCTGAGTATGGCTGGTCTTCTGACCCACAGCATCGCAGGGGCCACTGGGTAGTGGTGGCCGGCAAGGGTCTCCACCCTGGTCACCCACCACCTCTCTGGCTCCATCCCATGAGACTTGATCCCACCCAGGGACAGGCAGACCCCGAAGAAGCCAGCCAGGCCAGGCCACGGAGGGGCTGCCCTCGTCAGGAGTGGGTGTGTGTGGCCCAGGGCACTGCAGGGGGTGTGGCCCGGCTGCTCAGAGGACCCTGCAGCCGGGCACCGCGCTACAGGCACCGGCTCAAAGCACAGAGTTATAAACACGATTTTAAAAATACTGAGTGTGATGTGTTCTCATCAAAACAAAACTTTTAAGTGAACATATTGACTAAAAACTCCTTTAAAAAGTAAGTTTACTTAACACCATTAAAGTTACTTTGCAGAGCTCAGAGGTAGAGCATGTGCTTAATATTAGCATGCATGAGATCCTGGGTTCAATCCCCAGTGTCTCTATTTTTTTTTAAGTGGTTAAATGGTATAAAAAACAAAAACAAACATACAAAAAAGTTACTTTGCTTATAACAATCTAACTGTGCTCAGCATTTCTAGAAACCATCTGTGATGGTTAATGTTAAGCGTCAGCGTGGCTGGGCCTGGGTGCCCGGCTAGGGGGTCAAACACCAGCTGCTGTGAAGATATTTTTCAGACGTGATTAACCTTTAAATCAGTGGCTGCTGAGTAGAGCAGAGAGTACCCTCTGTAATGTGGGTGGGCCTCACCCAATCAAGTGATGGCCTTAAGAGAAAAAGACTGAGGTTCCCAGGGGAAGAGGGAATTCTGCTCCCAGACTGGACTTGAGCTACGACATCAACTCTTCCCTGGGTCTCTGGCCTCCAGCCTCCCGGCAGATTCTGGACCCACCAACCACAATCACAGGAGCCAGTTCCTTAATATCAGCCTCTCTAATTTCCTCTCTCTCCCTACACACACACACACACACACACACACACACACACACACTCACTCACTCTTTATTGACTGTTTTCTCTGGGATCTCTGACTAATAAGCCATCTATTCTCCAAAATGAGACACATCAGTATTCAGTATTCAGAAAAGTGATATTCTAGAAACTTTTACAGAAACTAAAAGGCACCTAGGACTTTCAGTTTCTGTAATAAAACAATAAATAAATAAATAACGAATAAAACCAATAAAACAGAGAGGGGAGCAAATGTGAAAGGGAGGGCTTTCGCCCACAGGCTGCTCGTGACACCTGCTGGAGCTGCTCGGGTCAGAGGTTCCCGGGACAGTGCCCCGCCCCCGCAGGGCCCACCCGCTGTGCGCTCACCTGGACGATGCCAATAGAGGAGGCGTCGATGGTTGTGGTCTCTGGCAGGTGGTCCAGGTCGTCGATCCTCACAGCCAGGACCTATGATCGAGCACAGGGCAGTGAGCCCAGGATGCTAGGGCAGGCCAGATTCAGACCCGTGGCTGATAGGCTGTCACTCTCAGCGGCACCCGTGTCCCCACCGGCTCTGCTCAGGACCCGAAAACCTAGATTCCAGAGTCCTGTCCGGGCCTCTCCTTCCCTCCTGCCAGGTCCCCCTCCCCAAGTGTCTGCAGTGCTCCACACCGGGGGTGTCACCTCATACCTGTCCATGTGTCACTCCCTGTCCTCTGCCGGGGGAGGAGTCCAGTCCCTCCCTTTTTTGTCCCACACTAACGTGCGTTTCCACTGAATCTTATTATTTCAAACCAAGCGCAGAGGGGATAAGGTCCATTACAGTAAACCTGTCCTCCAAGGAATCATGGAAAACAAGACATTTACACCTTAAACACCTCACTTTCTAACCTGACACATGTCCAGGCACTTTCACTAGTCAATTTCGTGATGAAGCAGCCGCCCCCGCCTGCCCCCACACTGACCGACTGACGGGCCCTGAGCACGCAGCCCCTCACACGGTGACCCACTCCCCGCGTGGCCCCCGGTCCCTCCCCGTCCTCCTGCACCTCATCCACGAACCTGCCAGTGGCACCTGTGACGTGATTACTCTAGTGAGCTAAGTCACAGGTGGACAAAGGAGCACAAGTCAGAGAGGACTGAATACCTGGGGGACAGGAAGACGGTGAGATGCTAAGGGAGGAACCTGGCTGTGGAAAAACTGGACAAGCTCAGGGAAAACCACGACAGACTCTCTGTAGGGTTCTTCATCCAAATGGCTTTGCAAGCGTCTTTACATTTTTGGTCAAAAAAAAAATTAAGAACAGAAATTATCAACTATACATTGTGGGTGTGGCGTATTTAAGAAGGATGATCGATTGGGAACTGCATCTTCAGACTTAGGTTCAAAGCCCAGGGCTGGCCCTTCTCTGAAAGGACGGCAAACAAAAAGGGCTGTGTCTGTTTAAAGTTCAAATACTGACGTGGCACTGAGGACCCAAGCATGGCTGTGCTGCTGCAAAGCTGAGTAAAAGCAGCCAGATGCCACTGATGTGTCCTCTCCCACTGTCTCTACCACCACCACCTCCACCACTGCCACCACCATCACCCCGTCACTAGCTCCACCACTGCCACCATTGTCATCAGTCACTGTCACCACCCTTACTGACACTATCACTGTCATCACCATCTCCGCCACTGTCACTACACCCATCACTGTCGCCACTGTCACCATCAGTGTATCACTGTCACTACCTCCACCAGTCACCACTGTTACTGCCACCACCTCACATCACCGTCACCACTGTCACTACCCCACCACTGTCACCGTCACCACCACCTCCATCCTCAATGACACCATCAGTGTCCTAGTCACACAGTCCAGAAGCTGATGTCACAGAACCACCACCACGGAGGCATTTGCTGGCTTTACTCTTGAGTGATAAGACCACACGTGACAGTACTTTTTGTGTTTTAATTTTTTTAACATAACAGTTATTCGAAGCAGAGGGAACGACCACACCTTTAAGTCATAAAACAGCATCAATTCTAAAAGTTCCTGAACACGTGAAAGTAGTTTATTTACACTTCTTACCACGTGAGCCGGCCTCCGATGGCCCCTACCCCGGTCCGTGCCCAGCACCGCAGCCGGGCTGCGAGGCTCCCCGCCCCGCGCCCTAGACCGCGGGCCCAGGAGGACCGGACGCACCGGCGCTCATCCCCGCAGGCACCGCAGTGTGTTTGTCTGAGCAACAGAGAATGAAAGGTCAGACAAACGATCCCAGGAACGACCGGGGGAACAGGCTGACGGCTTCAGGGTCAAAAGGGGCTGAGAGCAGACGGAGCCTTGGCAGAGGAGCCCTCCCTCTGCTGCATTTCCCCCCGCGGTGGGCGGAGAGGGGCCCAGAGAGGCCGCCCTGCAGAGGGTCGACCAGACGCAAGTGTCCGCTTCTCTGCAGCAGCGAGGCTTCCGCACCCCGCAATGCGCATCACGCATCCCGTCTGCAAAAACCGACATGCGTGCTCCATGAGGGTGTGAAACTAGAGAAACCCCCGTATAACGGAAATCGCTCACTCTCGGCCGCATCTCGGGCCCCGGGTGAGTCTGCGGTGCCTGCCCAGGGCCCCGAGAGAAGGGCGCTGTTGGCTGACCCTGCGGGCTCCTGCTCCAGGCTCTGCTTCT